GTTAGTGGTAGATTACACAGCCCAGCAATCCTCTCAAGGCACTGGCCGTTTATCACTATGATCGAACAGCATTGTCCTTAGCGATCCACACGTTACGCGTCCAACATACTACCTATTCCGCAGCCATATTACGCCCGGTAGTTCGGGTACTAGGTATGGGTTGTATTTCGTTAAACTTCTGCAAAGCATGTTCAACAATTGTTCGCTTATGGAATTGTGCAATTTACCTAAGCTGTATATTTATATATCCGGCATACTTGAAAACCTACTTCGCTCTGTACCTACTTCTTGGAAACTGTGATACCATATGACCCCCCTCATCGGAATTCACTGTGCCTTGCGACCAGCAGATGTCGCCGCCAAGCGGTCAAATGCGTTTCGGATGGCCTTTACGCTCTGCACAAAATAATCTAAAATTCGAAGTAAGCCATTGTTCAGGGTATACAGCGGTTTAAACATACAGAGAGGGACTACGATCCAGATAAAGTTCATAAAGAAATAGTACACCCAGAAGTAGAAAGGCTCCGGTCGGCAGTACGGGCGTTCGTGAACGTAGTGATCGTACAAGCTGGTCGCATAGTACAACGAATCACCGTAGAGGTGGCTTAGGCAGACGGTCAGTTGCAGCGGATGGCGAAGGGAACTCTGAGTGAAAATTGTATGTGCGACCAAAAGACATAAAGGTCCCCAAACGAGCTGTTGAATACTTCAGTCAATCACCTTACAGAAAGGTACTAGTACAATGTATGAATTTTGATGGAGACGTACCACGGTGATAGTCTCCATGCACAGGACCATCGTGTCCGCTGTCATGTATCTCGAATCGGATAAGGCGTATTCTTTCCACAATTGCCCAAAGAAGTCTTGAGCAGAAGCCATGCGATTGTGATTTAACATAAAATACCCTTCAAACATGCAATGCATGGTCCCCGCTGTATGTTCACAGTATATTAGCGTGACTCGCGTTCGAGAATCTGGACATGATGAGAAGAATCCTACATAAAAAAAACCACAAAATCGCAATTCGATCCGCTTTGCTCAGCCTTGGCCGAAGCGTGCTTATAAGGACGAAGATCGCGCCCAGTAAAGTTGTGGTGCCAATGCTGGCAGTAGAGAGGAGCTTGAGGAGTGAGAATTCATTGGGAGCGTACCCAGTGATTGAGGCATCAGTGGGATAATAAGGATGCAATGGATCTGCTGAAATCATTGTGAGCTAGAGACTAAATTTCAGTCAGCCTCTTTCGGTGATATAGCTGTACTTAAGAATGTCGTGTTTTTTGCGACTATGCAGACATAGACAAATGAGGGATATGAGGCGGCTCAAAACAATATTGATGTGCCAAGACAATGGATTCGAATCCAATCAGCAATAAATAGCCATTAGGACTTTTGGGGGGAAATCTCTTGAGTATAACCACCCACCTTTCCTCTGTAATGTATTTCTCAGAGTATTCCTTATGATATATGTAGCAGCTCAGTAAATTGACCTTGATGTTATATCGACTATAGAGGACTCGGGATCTCCCAAAAGGGCTCACATGCCATGCAACTAACCGTGTCTGGCTAGATGCCTGCCTCAGGCTGCGATAACTCCGTTCGATCTCCGCAACTCCCTCCGTATGTTGTCGTCAACGTCTGATGGTCGGGTCCAAGGTCCGCAGCCTCTTCAATGCAACCACACCCGTGATTACAACCATTCGGGCCATCTGATGGAGTCTGGAAGCCTTTTCTTCTACGCCCCTTCCTACAATGGCACCCGGTCCTTTTAGAAGAAAACCCCTAGGGGTCGATGTACCCCGCACGCCTGTCTCGGAGTCGCCGCCTCCCATTGCCGCCTTATTCGTGATCCGCTTCGATATCAAGGCTGGGTAAGTTCATTATGCTTATTCCAGCAACATCGCACTGACTGCAGAGAACTATATAGTTATGTGGTATCCTGGAAGCGCACGGTCCCTGGAGGTGAGTGGTACATATAATTCGCGATCACGCTGTTTTCTCCGCTTGAACCTGGCTAACTCACTCGAATGACTAGCTGAGATTGAAGGAATCATCGAATACAAATCACTACCTTCTGGCCTACATAATGTTTCGGAAGACCTAGTGTACGTTTGAGCACGCCGCTCGCAATTATTATCAAGTTAATAGTCGTTCTAGGTATTTCGTGCACGAGCAATATGCTGGCATTAGCGCTTTTATCAACCAGCCCGCAGCAGAGTCTGAGCGAAATGCGAAGATGTTTTCGGTCGGTGTCCTGGTACCCTTGAGCTCTGGAAGGCTAGGGAAAAGTTGGCGGCATGCCCCGAAACTCAGGGAATTGGCGCAGTAAGTAGACCCCTCTATATCGCCTGCGGCGTTTTACGTCTGTTCTGACCCTGCTTGACTTGCAGAATCTACGCTCTAGACATGTCTCATACAGAACCGCTATTGAAGTACTGGGAAACTTATGAGATCCGCGACAGCGACTTGTCCGGCGTTCCTCCGGATTCTCCTCTGGAATCCCCTCTCAGCCTTCGCTTGAGGGCGCATGGAGAGCGACCGAACCACTCACTTAGAAACCGCACATTCAGCGACGCTATTGTGCTGGAAACGCCCAGGCCGGCCCTGACGCCTTTCCATCCAGCTTCATCCCTTCCCGAATTCCTTGATTGTTTTGGGCCCCTCATATACCCATTGTATAGAGCAACATTACTCCGCAAGAAAATACTTTTCATGGCCGAAGCACCCGTTCATATGCCTTGTAACTATGGTGAGCCCTCTATCACTGTCTTTTCACATCCCTGCTGATATATGGTAGTATACGATTTGTCTCTGTTAGCTTCCTTACCTAATTCGCTTGTTCCTTTGCTCCCGCCGACCGGTATACCTAGCCTGCGGCCCCGGCCACTATTCAATGTTGGCATTCATGATATCCCGTATCTTTCTTCTTTTGCAGGTGTCCCAGCCAATGCTCAGCCAGATGCTTCTTGGATTGCCTGTAGCACAGATACTGTGCTAACCATGAAGTCTGAGCTCTTCGATGTCCTTGTCACGTTACCTCCCCCTTATTCTAAGGATGCAGCCGAGAAAGTGTTCCCAAAGATATCTATATTGCCGACACCAACCGCGAAACACAATACACCTCAAGCGGTCCAGTTAAAGGCAACCCAGCGGGATGCGCGCCGTTATGCTACGCTTCGCAAAGGCTTGCGTCAAGTTGCCTCGAGCGACGATGGCCAACCTGGCGAGGAGGATGATTCTGATGCTGCATCGACATACTCCTCCAGCCCCATTGTTGAGCCCATCTCTTGGACCCGGCTAGCATACACCTCGTTTATCTGGTGGGCATCGGCTGGTGAGAAGCGTGATGGGTTATCAGAAGAGGAGGAGGAAGAGCATCAGATCCAACAAGATACCCAGCTTTTAGCGAGTGTGGAACATCCCACTAGCCCGCCTTCTGGATCTGTCGGCCGTAGGAGCTTGCAACCATCAGATACCTCTCACGAGCCTCCTGAAATTGCCATTGTGGCATACTTCCGTCGCATGACTACACAGATCTTCATCACCTTATCCGATGCCATCGCTCGACACGACAGTCAGAATGTGCCCAACGAAGAAGTTGAGCCTAACGATGATGATCATATCCCTTACGAAGACGATCCGGGCGATGACCTCGAACCCCCTGTCACCATAGGCCGCCAATCTACTCAAGAAGATGATAGGTCTCCATTACTTCAAGAGGAGGTGTGCAGCTCGCCACGTAGCGATGACGAACCAATCAAGATAACCACAGAAGACATGACCGAAATGGGCCTTGACGTCTGGAGTGCAGCAGATCGTATCTTCGTCGAGGAGCTGGTCCGCTGCTGGTGGAATCGCAAGGCATACGTGGACAGTGCTCGTATACGATGCTGTGGGATTTCCATTCTTTAGATCAACATATGGGTAGTTCATTTATCTAAGGTCCTTTCATATTACTTCAGGGTATATAGTCATATGCACATACGGGATAGAAGCAGTTGCTTTATTATCCCCAGAGATTCGCATCGTAAACAACTCCTCTGGATAATAATCCTCCTATCTGCTTCGACGTATCCTGGATGCTGTTCCTGACCAGAGCGGTTGGCTAGCATGTCACACAGTCCAATCTAGCTCACTTTCCACGTCCCACCATAAACCTCTGCGTTTTGTCTCACCTCATCCTCTAGGTGATATGACATCGCTGTGTGACGTAAAGACTCATCTTATATGAGGGCAGTCATCGGAATGGCAAATTCACTAAAGCAGTCAGCGGAATAGAGTGATAGATGAAACTAGGCTTTAACCCTCGAGTACTAAAGGAAGTGTTCATCTCCTATAGAAAGCATCACGTGACTTAATAGCCCTGAATCAAGTAATATACAAAAGAAGCAGTGTGAGACCATAGAGAGCCAGAGATGCTCGGTTCACTCTCAGTGTTCTACTACTGGTTATCACATTCAGAAAGCCAACCTCTGTTAATTCCATTTAGGGTTCCTCGACAAGGGGGTACACTGCAGCCTGACTGTTGTCCAATTCTGCTGGTATTATATCATGGGCAATGATTGTATGGGTCCACCATCCTATCCTAATTTTACTTGGCGAGTGCAATTTTATAGAAGCGGTGAGGGCCCTGAGAAGAGAGTATATAAGTTAGAGCCTTTTTCTGAATCATGGCTAAAATCATGAGTCTGCTACTATGGACTTCAAACCTCGATGTTTTCATGAAAGCATCAGCCTTAGAGTATCTGCAATTGCACGTATTGATAGTAAGATCAATTTAGCATAATAATATATACTGGTATTCCTACAAGCCAAGACAGGTATATTCGTTGTCTCTCTCTAAATACATCAAACGACCGTAAAATGCTATCCAGCTCCTCTTTCTCCTCCGCCGATAAAACCTACTAGCCTACAATTCTCCTCAACACGCTGAGCTGCCGTTGCCCAAGGTATAGAAACAATTGTACCACAGCCACCAGTATTTGGATGTGCTCAAATCGACGCTAGACACCTAACTGCGTGGGGGTGACAACTCGACGCCTCGCGAACACTTCGAGTTTATCAACCAGCTCAAGGTTATTGGGGAAAACCTGCCCCCGTCATCATCAGCAAAACTTAACATTCACCAGTGTATTGTTTTCCATGTCAGAAAATCGAGACTTACCGCTGGCTGAAACCGACCGAACATATGGCGAATATCACTCTTCGGGATATCCTCCCGCCTGGTAACCTGACCAGTCAAGAAATCACACCTCAACGGAGCATAATCGAGAATCGGAGTACCCAACTCTTTCCAAGCCTCCGCCGCCCCATTGGTGAGAATAATGGTGTTCTACAGGGAGTACTCGTCCGCAATAACACTAAAAGGGCATACGGCGTGTGCACGACGCATAGTCGCAGCGCCTACCTCGGATAGACCCTCTGGCCTTCCTCAACGAGTTCCTTGAGTGGCCCCAGCTTCTCCTCAGCGGGAATATTGCGGTCAGAATGAAGAGCGTCACCTTGGGTGCGTCCTCTGGGACTTTCTCAAAATAGCGACGGGGGAGCCATAGTCCCGCCGTTGGGGACTCTAGGACCATGCCGTAGACCGAGGGCGAGGACCAGATGGCAGCGGGGTTGGTAATTGCGGCCTTCATCGAGGTAAAAGCCTGGTCGTCTGGGGGGTATCTTAAGAAAGAAAGAAAGAAAGAAAATAAGGGCAGAGCGATCTAGAGATTATGACTTTCAGTACCCACTACCCAAAACTTCTGTGTATTAACAGAGTAATCCAGAGTTGAGTACCGGGCTTAATGACGGACATACAGCAGGCCATGAAGCAGGGCTTAGGAATTACTGTAGATGCAGTAAGTAACACTACTATTTTTAATATTACTCCCGTATTGAACATCTTGTGATAGGCGACGCCGAGTAGGTTAAGCAGTCCGACAACTGAGCCACAATTAGCTGAGTTGTATCTTTATTGTTGGACTTGGGAGATGTTTTCGACATAAATCGGTGTGCATATCGCATATCGCTTACGAGGTTTCATCCAGTGGAGGGCTTAGACTGTATATATACCAATCAAAATGGCTAGCCTTATAGGAATTCATTGCGTTGGGAGTTATCACAGCCTGTGTGTGAGAGCAAGCCCATCTTGTATACTATCCAAAGGTTGAGAAGGGTTATTCAAGAATCCACAATCTAACCTTAGATATTCATGGTGTCAAGCTTTTTCATTAACCTTATCATAGAAAATCACTTATCTACATTATAAACGACATATATACAAGTGGACAAAGGAAAAGTAATTCAATGAACATAGTAATGAAACGAGTGGAATGTTTGTGCATGGTGCAAACTAGAAAGTATAAAAGCAAAGACAAGATTCCTTGTTCTAAACTTCCCGCCATCATTGCCTGGTAAAAGGGATATGCCGAAAACCATCCGACAGAAGAGTTGTAGACGAAACTTCGCAAGGCAAGCCAGAAAGCCCAAAAGACACCGAGCGGTGATTAAGAGCTCTGTTAGATTGTTATCGAAATAAAAAAAAAAAAATTCCCAAAACGCCGGTTCCCTCGGAGCACCAGGGTATCATAAGTTATCCAGAGTTAATAAATGCTTCTGTCCAAATACTCGTAAACATCTAGGAGGCCATGTAGTGTGAGATAAGTGTTACCGGTGGAACATCCTGACTGGCGCACTCATGTCCCTTCGACTTCGTATCTCACTGTACCTTCCATCTGGATTCTGAACGGCAGGAATTCGACGCGCTGCTCTAACAGGAGTCACCCCCATGCCACCAGCGCGCAACGTACTTTCGTTGGCACTGACAGATCTCTTCATATTGTTGGTTCGGCCCCTCCTTGCCCGGATTTGCGCCAGGGCTTCCTCTCGGTCGATAGGCGTTCCAGGGATGCCATGCAAGTGGTCTGGTTCCACACTTTCATTCCGCAATGGTATTCTTCTGATGCTATCATGCTCATCAACATTTCCTTCGAAGCGATGCTGCTTAGGTACTTCAGAGTCCCATGGCACGTCGCTAGTGGCGGGTGAAGGACGAACCCTAGAGGGGGAGAGCGGACCACGGGCGCGACTTTCATGAATTGTTTCAAAAGGTGTCTCATCCCATGGTACTTCATACTTCGCAAGTGGGCTAGTGACCTGTGGCTGAGGGGTCGACTGGTTCTCAGCGACAAGCTGAGGAAGTTCTACAATGTCATGCTCCAGCTTCTTAGTTGGTGACCTTCTGACAGGAGATGGGATTGTATGGAAAGTTCCAGTAGCAGGCGAGAATGTTATAGTAGTCTCCTCTGGCTGCTGCTGATTTTCTGTTTCTGGTTCTTCAGCGGACTCGATAGGTTGGCCAGAGCTTTTATGGGGAGAGGATGGGGAGTCTTCGATATGCGGTTTGGCGCCTGCAGGTTCATCTTTGTCGATGTGTTCGCCGGGGCCATCGAGTTTCTTGGTTGCGTGTTCTGTCGTATTTTGAATATGACCCTTTTCTCGCTCCTCTTCGATACGACAAGTGCATCGTTTGAACATGCACTCCACTTTCAGGAACTCTATCATATCTTCCGCGTTGACCCTCAGTTGTCGTTCGGATTCTAGTTGTATTTGTAATTCGTGAACACTGTCACCTTTTGCTTCCAGTGAATCTAACTTTTGGATTTCGTTCCGGGGCGTAACATCGGAGACTCTTGGCCTCTTGGGAGGGGTATCTTGGGCAAAAGAATGGTTCAAACGACTTTCCAATGGCGTGTCATCGGATTCTTCTGCGGATCGTTTCGGCCTTCGAGGCGTAGGCGTTTGGAGAAATGCAAGGTCGCCTTCTGCTAGTGATAGTCTTCCAACATCTCGTTTGTGCATCTCCTGGGCACGTGCTTCCAGAGTATGTGCATGACTTTTCGCTTCTGCCGTTCGCAAGCGTCCTTTCAATACTTCTATCTCCTCCATCAGACCTGCAAGTGTGTACGCGCGCTCGAACGCCTCCTGCTTCGCCTTTTCCTTCGCTTCTCGCTCCGACTGGACCTCATCCTTTAACACTTTGGTCTCAAATCTCGCCTGTTTTAATTCTTCCTGAGCTTTCACCAATACAGACCCTGCGCGAAAAGCCTCTTTTCTCGCTTTCCGTATTTCTTTCTCAAATACTGCTCTTTCGTGGGCTTGTCGTGTCTTTGCAGTTTGCAGTTCTTCCAGCAACGATTCGAGCCTCTCACTGATGCGACGCTCACGAGACTGGGCTTCCGAGAGTTGTACAGAAACATTGGCCAGTGCGGATTCCGCCTCCTCACGGCCTAGAATAGCACGTTGAAGAGCCGCTGAGCTTCCGGCAGATGGCTGTGTTGAAGACGCTGCTGGACTGTTCCCTCGTGACAGATTGTTCAAGTACGCAACCTTGGCTTGGACATCTGATAAACCTCTAGGCTTCCGTTGCATATTGCGAACGTCATTAGGTAACGTTGGTGAGTTGGGAAATGTTTGCTGATTGAGGCGCTCTGGTGAAAGAGGGTTCAGCGCTTTCGTTGGGCTTGACAGAGGATTATTAAGGACCTTTGAAGGGCTAGACATGACGCTTGATGGGGAATCCATGCTCCAGTACTATATATTATCTGATTAGTAGGGTGAAAGAGGTCCCCCAGTTGGGCATGACAGTCTGCCGTGGGAGAAGGAGGATTAATGGAAAAACAAGTCCCGTCGTTAATCGATCGTTGTGGAGGTGTTCGGTTGATCCCTATCGGTGACGCACCCACAACAACGCCTCTTAGCTTGTTTATTGCACACCCATAGCACGTCATGTGACTGTTGCCCTTGACTACCAGTCTTGCCAAATATGGTCTAGAGATATCACGTGGAATGTGGTGGAACTTCATACCATAATTGGAAGCGAGGATACCATCTGGTCCGTGCGTTTGGCTTGTGATGCCATACACAGTATCATTTGCAATACTAGTATTGATTCCATTTAAAGCTGTATAGGGTTCCTTCTTTGAGAGGGGATACATTGAAGTAGCTCTCACGTTCGTTGATGCAATATCGGCTTCTACCGGACCTCTACCTTGTATGTACTTTATTGTCATCAAGTTATCCGTTAAAGGTGTGGGCTAATAATCTCACTGTGCGCACCAAAGTTCTAGTTAAGCATGCATGAAATCGTTACCCTTCAACTAGGGCAGCGGGCCAATTATCTGGCTACTCATTTCTGGAACATCCAGGTACATATCATCTAAGTTTAATTTGCCTATTTACATTTCATCGGGCACTGCTCAAATAACTCGGAAATGACAGGAGTCTTATTTTACCTACAATGGAGAAGAGGAATCTCCGGTGGACCATGACGTCCATTTTCGTCCTGGTGTGGGCGCAGATGGGACAGAAACCTTCACTCCCAGGACAGTAATATATGACTTAAAAGGTGCTTTTGGTACTCTTCGAAAGTATAACGCACTGTACGAATTGACCGAGGATGCAAATCTTGGCCAAAGCTTATGGGACGGGAAAGAAGTCATACAACAACAGACACCAATCTCTCAAAGCGAGTACCAGAAGAACTTAGATGCAGGGCTCCCTGCTCCCAAACTCACAACCGAAACAGTTCGGTACTGGTCTGATTATAATCGCCTCTTTTATCATCCCCGCTCGATTGTTCAATTGAATGATTACGAGCTGAACAGCATGATTATGCCTTTCGAAGATTGGAATGTCGGAGAAGACCTGTTTGGTGACCTTGACAAAGAGCATGATCTTCTGGATAGAGATGTGAGGCCATTCGCGGAGGAATGTGATCAATTACGGGCAATCCAGTTGTTCACAAGTTCTGATGATGCTTGGGGTGGTTTCTCTGCTAGATATATCGACAGACTGCGAGATGAGTTTGGTAAAAAGTCTATCTGGGTATGGGCAATTGAAGGTGGATTAAAGGTGTCTCGTGTGAGTTATCCTTCTCTTATCTCTGTAGTGGGTCTAATGTTGCTCCTGATCACAGCAAACTCAACTTAAACGGGACATGAACAAAGCGCGGACAATATACAGTATCTCTCCTCAGTCATCATTGTATACTCCAATTATTGATCCGCCCAGCCACACTCCGAGCAAAGTGTATGTCGACCCGCACTCTGAATGGCATACTACTGCACTTATCAGCTCTGCTATGGAAAGCGTTATGCTCCCAACCCGTCTTCGGCAATTCCATGACTTCGAGTCCTCCTTAGCTGGTGATGATGGCACCCACAAAATATTTGAGTTGCAATCCTCTGTCACCGCGGACGATGGAACTAACGAACAGCACCTACCTGTTAAAGGACCACTGACTGAAACAAATGTCTCGGAACAGGGTGCAGTTAAATCTCAAGCAGAATTTGAATTAGATTTTACCTACGATGGACATGGAAGCAATAACTCACATATATTCAACCAGCTTCAGGTTTGGCGTGGAACCAAGCCTGACCAGGACAATGAGTCCGTTCCTCAAGAGGATATTGGCCTCTCTCGGAAGCAGCGCTACTACAATTCAGCACCAATGTTCCAAAGGTGAGAGCCGGCGTAGTAGTTTATACGTGATGGGTGTTCTCGGTCTAACACGAGACAGTTTCCACACGCCCCTGGCATTCCCCATTCTTGACAGCTACCCTGGTCGTATCTTCTCAGGTACAAAACAAAA